TTGGATTTTTACGAAATATTTCAATTTTTTTAATTGCAATAAATTTATGAAAATTTGGAAAGTTGTTGATGTCCGGTTGTTTTAACGTCGCATGTAAGATCCATGCTTATTTGTGTTAGTTGTATTACTTCTATATTAAAGAGAAAGAGAAGAGAGAAAGAGAAAGAGAGAGAGATTAGAATATTATAGTGCACAAGTTCAAATTCGCTTGCGATATAAAAATTAAAACATTTATAAAAGTTTTTAACTCTCCGTTTTTAAGCTTCCTATATTAAATCCAAATAATATTACATATATGTATAGTTGAAAGAAATGATTTCATTTCTTTGAAAGTCATTGCTTAATTGTGGCTGAAGAAATAAAAATCATAAGAAAATCGATCTTGAAAAAATCAATTTTGATGTACTGCTAGTTGTGACGCAATAATTTCAATTCTTTAACACCTCGTAATCATATATATTACATCGCGATTAATCCTTATATTTTTGAATTATAGTACTAATAGACAGTATATTTCTCGACATTTCGTGTCGTGACTCACGCGACGTGATTGTGACGAGTTAAGTAATGTACCGCACAGTAAAGGGATAAGCTAGAAAACTGAATCATAGTTATCGCATAATTATATCATTATATATATATATGTGTGTGTATGTGTGTGTGTGTGTGTGTATCAGAAAAGGTTTTTTCATCGTAATTATACCTCGGCATAATTGACATGCTTATCGGTTGACTTCAAGGAGGTCAACAGGCTTCCGTGCTACCTTGTCGCGAATTACTGATAAAATGAGATTATATTTGCCTATACTATATGACGTAATACAATATAAGCGTTGGCAGATTATGCGAATTAAGTTTTCAAAAATATTCTTTTTTCCCTAATATACAGCAAGACCAAATGTCGGTTGATCCTTTTTTTTATTTTCAAAATCGTGTATACATTAACATATATACAACATATATAGAAAAAAGAACAAATTAAAAAGCTAAACTTATATTTCGTCTTCTTTGCAGAAAATTTCTATAATTTTTGAATCACTACTAAATGAGATTGAATTGATTTAAAACAATTCAAAGAATAAAAATATATGTATAAAGTATTTAAAAGGAAAAAAATATTTTAAAAATATTATTGTAAGCATTTCATCAAGTTAACTTTCAGATTGTATATATTATTTGCAGATTCTACAGATTCTGAAGAATCTCTCTTTGAATGAAATAACATTTATTAATTTAATCGACAGTATGACGCATTTTATTTTTACCAATGGAATCATAAATATTATATATATATATACGTTTAGTTAGCGAAATATTTTTTACGATTTTGTACAACTCATTGTATTCTCTCTCTTTTTCTCTATCTCTTGCCTTATTGTTTTCCTTCATTCAATGAGTATGTACTTGCAGTAGGTAAAAAAAATGTACTCGCTCTTTCACTTATCAATCGCGAAGAGTTAATATATTGATCATTGACAATTAGTAATAGATAGCCAAGTAATCAACAAATGATTTTGTTATCTTTTGTAAGTATGTGTACTCATTGTTTAGATAAAGAAAAAAAAATTAAAAGATACAAAAAATGCAAATAAAGAAGTACAGATTTCAGCACTAGACTCTTATAAAATTTAACATAGCAAAAAACAATCTCTATACAATATTATAATTTATGGCAATTTTATAAACAGACTAAATACGGAATAAGGAATAACGCAATGGTATGACGAAAAAATACATGATTTCTTATTTAATAACATATTTATTTCTACTTAATAACTCTCTTTATTTTTTTTCCTCTTCTTTGATGGTCCAATTTCGGTTTCTTCCGCTTGTTCTATTTTATGAATTTTATCAATATTGATTTCTTTATTTTCTTTTTTCTTTTTTATCTTTAGCAGTTCAACTTCAATTTCATTATTTTGCTCTTTTTCGTCACAATCAGTTTCTTGAAGTGTATTTTTATGCTTCGATTTTTTTTTCTTCCTGGATTTTTTCGTTTCCATGACATCTAATGTCTCTTTTTGTATATCTTTAGATTCATTCAATGCTTTATGATTAAAATTAAATGAATCATTGCAAACATCCATTTTTTCAACTTCTTTTTTACTTTTTGCTTTTATTTTGCTACCTATGTCAAGTACTTCAAATTCAACAATATCTGTTGATATCTTCATTTGTTCCTCATTCATTGAAATTACTTCATTCACTTCCTTTTTCTTCTTCTTCTTTTTCTTCTTTTCACATTTCTCTTGTTGATATGTGAATGTTTTCGCCATGTCATCTTTCTTGATATTCAAGTTAGTTTCAATAAGATTTATACGATATTTGTTACCCCCTTTAAGTTTGCATTTTGGCAGAGTCACATCAAAATTTCTTTCAAATACTGCTACGAAAAAACCATTGCAAAAATCATCATCTGGCCTCGAATACAAACATAAATCTCCACAGTTGTATTTTTTCGAGCTGAAGTTTGTCCAGTTATTTTTGAGCAATTGCCTAACTGATAGCAAACGATAAGCGTTTCCAACATTGGCCAGAACTTCGTCTACTACTTCCTCATTCTCTTCGGGATGTAGAGAACATGTGCTGTAGATTATTCTTTTTGCATTTGGAAAATTGAATAGTGCATATCTCAAAAGATAAACTTGAAACGATTGTAATTTTTTCAAGCGCTTTGATTCGGGCATTCCATCCATCTCGTTCTGTTTCGGTCTGTCGATAATGCCTTTAATGAAAATTGTAAGATTATATCGTAAATTATACATAAATAAAAATTATGTAGGTATATTTTACAGAAGATAATTTAATTAAATAAATGATCACTCGTTTCACGAATAGGAATAATGCGAAGAATCATAAAAAGAATTACTTTCTATTTTCTTATTCTGTCTTTTATGCTATTTTTTGGTTAACTTAAAAATTATTAATTTACATTAAAAGGGAATTTTTACCTGATCCAGAACAAGTTGGATCGACTAAAATGTATTCCACGTGTGAATATAATTTTGGATCGAGAGTTAAAACATCTTGATTAAGAGGCTCCACACAAAGGGCATGAGTCTTATCCAACTGAGTGAGTAAGGTTTTAAATCTTTTAGCATCCATCTCCACGGCATAAACTTTTCTATTTAAAAATAATAATTTATATTAAAGTATCTGTTTCTAAATTCTCTTTCTTTAATTAGTTTACTTAAATTATTCAATAAAAATAAATATTAGATATTAATACATTTCTTGATTTTCTTCTTTCATATATTATCTAATAACAAATCTGATGAAGAAACAAACTGTATACCCGTTATTTTGCAGTTTTGCTGCCACATGAGTAGCTTTCATGCCGGGCGCAGCGCACATGTCCAACACTGTAGAACCACTAATAGGATTCAACAAGTACACCGGCAAACTGCTAGCCTAAGTGTGAAATAAGATTTTTAATGTAAAAAAAACTATGAACGTATCTTTTTTTTACAAACTTTTAATTAAATCTTAATGATGCTAATT